TCGAATTATATTCAAATTAAAAGCTATCTCTCTTAATTAAACTTTCTTTGTAATCTGACAAACTACAACAATCAATTTTTCTCTTTTACTTACCACAAAAGTTTATTGATAAAAAGAATTTTTGAATTCGAGTATTTCTGGTATCGGTAACAAACATATTCCCATAACTATCAAAACTGAAGGAGGTTGGAAAAAATAATTGATTGGATGCTGAACCTTCTCCAGAACATCCAACTACACATCGAAAACCATGTGGTCCAGATCCAATTATTCGATGATTCAGCATATCCACAATGAATAGATATCCATCATCATCAAGTACAATTCTACTTGGACAGCTAAGTATAATAGTTCCTGGTGCTCCATTTCCAGCTAACGTTGATCCATTTAATTGTCCTAATTGAAAACGTTGAATTCTGTTGTTGCCACAATCAGCCACATACAAGTTGAATTTAGCATCAACAAAGATTCCCCAAGGAATGTCAAGCATATGTGATGCTGATCCAGGAGAACCATTTCCTGCAACGATTGTTGTCGTATTTGAAACACTGTTCAGTGATCTTTTGATGACTTGATCAAGTTTACCAAGAGAACAGTAAAGATTATTGTCAATATCGATAAATAGACTAGAACAAGAACCATTAACATACATTACTGGAACACTTTTGGTAGCATTTAATGTCCACATATCTACTCGACCGTTTTCACCGTTATCAACATAAATATCACCATTCATTGTCACGAAGAGACTGTATGGATTAGACAAACCAGCAGAGATGATTCTTGTTGGAGTAATACTTCCTTCGAGCCACACTTGAACTTGATTGAGAGTAGTAGCAGTCACATAAACAGTGTTATTGATATTGACAAAAATACTGGCAGGATATAGACTAATTGTATTGAAATCTGCGAATATAATGGCATTTGGAATCCATGATGCATTTGAAGAGAACTTTAGTTGATTGTAAGAAAGAGCTAAAAATGAAGAAGATTATTAACGTTGTCATTGGATAAAAAATGTAAATAAAAATTCTAATCTATAATAATTTTTTTACATAGCTTTAAAGATCCTTTTTCCTCATTCAGAACAAAGAACTTCAATCATTTTCTTTTCAAAAAGTGTTCTCCACCATAGTCCATGAGATTGAGCTGAAACATTATGAACATAGTTGGAATAGATTATCCTCAGACTACCCAAAATTTCAGCTCTGAATCTCTTCATCTTTCAGAAAATATGATGATTTTACTACATATGCCTTGTTATTCTAACAGTCTTTTGCATCTTCAACATTGTTGTATTAATTATTTCAGCGAGGTAGAATGAATTTTTTTTTTTTATTATTTCAAAGAGAATATTCGGGGCTAGCAACTCTTCTAGTCGTTTTTTCACAATAGCCCTGAGTTAAAGGGTAAAAAGATTTGCATTATTAAAATTCGTCGTTTTTTTATAAACCTTCGCATTTTTACCAAACATTTTGACTTAATATATGCTTCAACAAAACAAACAAGGACAGAAATAAAAAAATGAGCGACGAGAGTCGTTATCACCGAATGTCCTTTTTCAAATAAAAAAGATAAATTCAGTCTACCTCCATGAAGTAATTAATAGAATGACGTTGGAGATACAAAAAACTCTGAATCTGAAAGTAAAAAGGTATGTACAGGCTCATGTGCTATGGTTGGAAACACTTTTTGAAAAGAGAATGATTGAAGATCCTTGTTTTGAAGAGGAGACTTAATATTTATTTCATATAACTATAATATAACTGAAGATCTATTTATTGTTAATAAAACAAATGTTTCTATGTACAAAGAGAGATTTTATGAAGCACGACTAAAAGGATTGTTGAAGTATAGGAATAGCAATTCAGACCCATCCTTCACCCTACAGACTATAACTAGGAGTGGAACTTCCACTTTCTTTTTGCTTTCAGAAAGGAAAGGAAAACTGAAATATTTTAGTGTTCGACTATTTGAAAAATTATATTACCAATTATAAACACGATAGAGCAATCATTTGTATGGCGTTAATTTTAATATTTCTGTGTTTCTACTCTTTCCTTATTCTATTTTATCGAGAAAAAAGTTTGACTGTTCTCTAAGGTCGAATTTCGGTTCATTTCTCAACAGCTGTTTATGAAAAGAATAGATCGGAAAAATCAATTTCCCTGTATTTATATGAACAACCGAATTTGTCGAAAGTTCGGGTTTGATGCATGCCTAGATATGCACAAACTTTTAACATTCAACAACTATCTAACTTAATAACTTTTCTTTCTTTTCAGAAAGGAAAGTAGGGAATGTGTTAAAAGGCTTTCCGAACGGGAAGCAAAGGAAAGTTTCAATTTTGTTTTTCTTTCAGAAAAGAAAAGAAAGGGTCACCTGTACATTATGCTCATATCGGTTTTTATTGATTTTGTTTTTATTTTAAATATAAAATGAAAATATGAATACATAATGAATTGAAATGAAGATGTTTTTATGACAATAATTCTATGGAAATAATTATCTAAGAAAAGAGATGAAAATGTCTTTTTTGTTATTTATATTGTTACATATATTTGAATGAGTACTAAATTTATTTGATTATATCTATGAGTTAGAGATGCGTACAGGGTGAATTTTTACATCCTACCCTGACGTGTCCTGCTGCATCGGATCGAGCAGGGCAGGGTGTGAGTGTGGGTGAGAAAAATATAAACACCCACACCCATACCCTCAAAGATAAACTTGCAAATAAGAAAAAAAATGATTTGCTTATTCGATTATCTGTTTTTTGGTTAATATTTCCCATTACATATGATTATCTGGTATTAAAACTATAAAATAAGTGGTTCTATTGTTTTCGAAATGTTATTCTGAAAATATTTATTTTAATCCAATTTTTAAAGAAAAATGTCAAAAAGACAAAAAAACTTTTTCCGATCAAAAAAATTTTGTTTATTGTTAAGAATCGTTTCTACTAAGAAAATACGTGAATGTCTCATTGCTATAATAAAAAATACTTATCTGTACTTGATGTTTTAA